ATTCTTGGCTAGGTCTAACGAATCTTTCTTTAGAAAGGTACTTGTAGTAACTGGCCCAAATTGTTGAATTTTCCACTTTCTGAGTTCTTTCATTGGAGTTTGTTTTCTCAGAAAGTTTGGGGTTTTAAAGTTATTACTGACCATATCCAAAGGTAATCCTGACTGAATTATTTTCCTGAGATTGCAGATCTTGTTAATTTCTGAATTGTATACTTTACTTGGAGTGTAGATGGTTGTTGTTTCTTACCATATAACAAATTATCCTAAAATATAACAGCTTAAAACAGCAACTTGATAACTTAAGTCCGTTGTAGCTTACTTCTTCTCTCAATGAATGATCCAAGAAAAGAGACAGAAGTTTCAGTCTCAAAACCTAGGCTTGTTAAGTTTTTTCTGTATCCTGTTAGTCCCAAAACCCAATCCCGCTAATGTGTAGGAGGAGATTATGTAAGGGCATGAGTACCAAGAGAAGATGAAAATTCTGGAGGGCCAATAGAGTCTGGCTAGCACATAATCTGTTGCTTCAGGATACTTTCTCATTAATACATGCAGAAGAGTTTGCCAGTTTTCCCAATTGGCAGAATGCTAATTACCAAAAACCCCCAAACATGCTGCCGTGGAGTCCATTCTAAGTTATAGTGACCCCATACGGGTTCCAGAGACTGCAAATCTTTACCATAGTTGGCAGCCTCGTCTTTCTTACACAGGGCAGTTGGTAGATTTGAACTGTTTACCTAGTGGTTGGCAGCCCAATACATAGCCCATAGGGCCACGAGGGTTCCTTAGTAGTCTCTCTTTTCTGTTTTTTACTGCTCAGGAGATCTTTGCTAGCAGAGACATCCCACTCCTTTTCCTTTAGTGTTTTGCTGCTGCTTCTGGTAGTTTGAAAAGTAATGAAGCTGTCAACAAGGTAAAGCATACCAAGTTTGGGGATATATTACTATACATCCTTTATATTATTGTAACTCCAAATCAGGCTGGATGCTGGGCAAAGATACTTCTAACTTAGCCTATGATAATCTGTCTAAAGCATGTGGAGTAATATACTTGAAATTATCTTTGTTCTGTTTTGTTTTTTCCCCAAACATAGCAAATTGAAAATCTTACCTGCTCTACATTGGAGGATTGAAATAATTTGTTAGAAATAGAAGTTTATTATGTACAGTTTTAAAAGAGCAATTAAAACCTCGTGGCTACAATCTTAAGCTTGAAATGAGAAAAACGTGTCCAATGATTAAATTTTTCCCACTGCTGTTCACATCATGATTTGTTGTGATTAATGTATGTGGATGAGGACATAATGAAGAAAAAAATTGAGACTTACATTTATGATGTCCTTTCTCTGCGTTGATTCTTCTGTCTGAACATTTTTACTTTTAGGAGTAAAATTGAACAGTATTTTTCTGAGAGAAGAGTATTGTATTTATCTGACTGATAATTTCAAGACTAATAAGGTAAGGTGTTCATAAAATCACTTTTGGAGAGATGTTTTAACATTTGTTTGAGTGTGATGTGAATTTAAAGATTATTTTTTAAATCAAATTTGATTTGCAATTGCACTGTTTTAGATTTCCTAAACTATTGATAGTCTAAATGACTCTCAAATGCTAATGAATCCTATAGTTTCAGCTTTGTTTAAAAATGGATAGAAAGTTTATAGGAAAGTATTGTTAATGTCAAATCTAATACTTGTTCTTTTCTTCACTTTTCTTGGAGTATTTTTCAAATTTGAAGGAAGTAGATACCTTGTATAAAGGAAGAAATTCTTAGGAATATTTTCTTTTTACCCACCATCATAAAGGTGGATATAAACCTTATATATATCCCTTACGACTGAATACAGCATTAAGAGGATACATGCGGCTTTCATGCTGAAATGTATTGGTATTTGCTGCTGTAGGATAGTTTATACACACGATTTTGTCTCAATTCTTGGCAGTCCTCTAGTGCTACTGTGAAAGTACGCGGTTTTTGAAATGTAGGCTCTAATTTCCACAGTGTTTTTGCACTACCTGAAACTCTTAACTTGAAAAATTAATTTATTGTTATCTGCAAATATTTCTATAGCTCCAGTGAGTACATTAAATCATAAAACTAGCATTCCATTTAGAAATATTTTTGTTTTCATTTGCGCTAGGTCTGGGTTTGCAAGTAGTTGACTAAATTGTGTTCAAAGTTAACCATACACATCATTCATTTCTTAAGGTACAGGTAGTCCTCACATGGCTCTGGTATAGATATCGGTTCCCATTGGACCCACTACCACGGAGTAGAGCCCTATTCAGTGATCTTATGGTTAAACACCAGCCTCCAAACAACCTGGACAAACTATGCTGCTAGCTCTGAAGTCCACCGAGCATCTGTTACTCAGTTTATACAGAGAGCATTGTGCATCGTTGTGTTGCCTCCTTAGAAAATGACCATGTGCCATCTTATAAAAATGGATCACCAAAGAAATTTGTCTGAAAATATAAAAGCCACAAAGACCAATAAGATAATATGAATACTGGTTGTGATTAGAAGGTGATGAGAGTATAGGAAGAAAGAACAAGACCTGGAGTCTGAGGCAGCATTGTGAACCATATTGGGAAAGTCTGCTGATTATAAAAAAGCAGAGTTGCTTCATTAGTTTAAATTGCAAACAGAAAGCCTCGTGATGAAAATGGAACATGTACTGGATCAAAGCCTTATGAAAAACACATCCCACTCTGTTTGGCTATCATTCAGGTCCAAGTATTAGTTGTTGCACTGAACAAAAATAGTGATTTCGGAGGGGGTGGGCAGTTGCACCACACATTTCACTGCAAATAAAGGCGGGTTTCATTGTTTCAGAAGTGGGCATGCCTTAACTGCTATCTGGTGACGCTACTAGCTCAGATTACAATTCTGATGAAAAAGCTGTAACTAGATTCTGAGAATTACAGGTCGTTCTTGTTTCCCATGTTTGTTTAGGGTTGTACTGTGCATGAAACTGCAGAATTGGAATGGAATGATAGACGATAACAGATGGCCACTGGAATGCTGACATTGCCTGTTCGAGAGACTTGGCAAGTAAACTGAGGAAGCGAGTGAAGCCAAACTTGGACAGATGAGGAAAGGGCTCTGTGGCACATGATAAAGATGCTCAAAGGAGGTGATACCAGCACTACAGATAATTCGTAACATTTAGTACAGAGGAATACATTTTGAGAACTGATTCAAAGTTTAAAGAATACAATGATACAAAAATCAGTGCTTTTTCAAATTATTATGCAGTGAATAATTTTTTACTATGTTTTCATAAAACCAACAAGGAAATTTTTAGTTTGGAGCATTTTAAAGGTTGTGATATATTCAACAAATAGATTTTTTTTAAACCATTTTATTGGGAGCTCTTACAGATACAACAATCCACAATTCAATTAGATCATAATTGTACAATAGCTGCCACCATCAGTTTCATATATTTTATTTATTTTGCAGTACCTTACACCATCCTGTGTCCGTTCACCTACAATTGTTACCCAGTCCCCCAAATAGTTGATTAATATTGCATTTTTAGTTTGTATTGTCTGTGTACTTGAAATAAAATAATCTTCATATTTGGCCAAATATGAATGTCAAATGTAGAAGCATTTTATCATATGATACCAATATTTTTCATATTGCCTTGGCAAGCTTTTTCAAAGCTGTGAAATAAAATTTTTATAATATCAAATGTCTCGTATTTGAACTTAATGTGTATGTAGGAAATACTGTCTAAGAAATAAAGGATTTAGCTTTTTTTTTTCCTGTAAAGGACCACATTAATGTTAGACTTTACCTGAACATAATGGTTTTGCTTATGTTAATTCTACCATTGTAGCATAAAAATAGGCATTGGAAATACATAAGCTTTTGGGTGTGTGTGTATTTCACTAAAAACCTGGACAACAAAATTTGAATTTCATGCCGTATTGCTACCCATGCAGTATTTTCTTGGCCCCTATTCTCAACACCATCACTTTCCTAAATGTGAGAACCTTTGTTATGGGAGATTTGTTTATTGACATGCAGAAGAAAGTTGAATTGTAGCTAACCATAAAGTTGTATTTTCAAAGTAAGTGAATTTTTGTTTTTATTTGGAGAACACAACTGCAGAATGCCCATTCTGGTGTTCTTGGGGTGGCTTTAAGCATTTTTTCTTGAAACCTACACTTGTCTGCTAGCCTCCTATTCAAGTCCATTGCTCATTGGCTTCTCCAAAGATTTGCATTTTCTTTGGGACACTGCTTACTTGCCTCTTCATGATCATTAGTTGGTTCCTCTTTGGGGTAAGATTTCCTCTAATAGGAACTTTGGGGCCCTAGCGGCATAGTGCATTATGAGTTGGGCTGTTAGCTACAAGGTGGTTCGAAACCAGCCTCCACTGCACGGGAGAAAAGCTGAGGCCTGCTCACCCAGTTAACAGCCTTGGATCCCCATGTAGCTAGTTCACTCTGCTGTGTGAGGTCTGTATGAGTCAGATTGACCAACTCCATAGAAACAGTTTCTTCTGTTTGAGAGGGCAACCTAAATGGTTCTTCCATTCTGGGATGTCTTTTTCTTGAACACCTTTCAAGCATCTCACACTTAAAGGACTATGATTTGCCCCAAATAAGTGTCAGAGCCAGCTTTTTATCATTTCTCTGTCTTCCTGGCATATTACATAAACATTGAACATTGCCTGCCTTATGAGATGTTTTTCTCCCCAACTACATTTGTAGGCTTAGAGATAATTAATTTGGCAATCTGCTGGAGATGCAACCCTTGTTCTTGCCAGCTGCTCAGTCTATGAAGTCAAGTGGAAAATGAATATTCGAGGTTGTTTCCTCTGGTCTTCAGGACCAATGTTATGTGCCATCAAATTGGTGACCATATGCCCAACAGAATGAAACACTGCATGGTCCTGCACCAGCCTCACTATTGTTCTTATTCTTGAAGCCATTGTTGCAGCCAAGGTAACAATTTCCTCTTGAGGGCCTTCCGCTCTGCCCCTCTACCAAGCATAATGTTCTCCAAGGACTGGTATCCTGACAACATGTCCAAAGCATATTGGCCTTCTAGGACAGATTGGTTTGTCTTTTTTTTTTTAATCATTTTATTGGGGCTCATACAACTCATCACATTCCACACATCAATTGAATCAGGCATGTTTGTACATAATGTTGCCCTCATTCTTTTCTAGACATTTACTTTTTATTGAGCCCATGGTATCTGCTCTTTTTTATATCCCCCTCCCCCACCCTGGTTTGTCTTTAACAGCCACCCATAGTGCTTTGAATATTCTCCAGTACCACAATTTAGGTGTATCTAATTGTTGGTCTTCCTTATTTAATGTCCAACTTTCACATGCATATGAGGCAATGGAAAATACTATGGCTTGGGTCAGTTGCTCCTTAACCCTCAAAGTAAATCCTTGCTTTTCAAATAAAAATATAAACATTTTCATACCAAAGGGAACAGATATTGGAGTTTGCCAAGGGAAGGAAAATAAAGCAATAGATGAATCAATCGGGTTGGCAAATTGTGGCTTGAGAACCATATGCAGTTACACCGTGCGTACATATAGCTCTGTAGTAAAACAGGCATTTTAAAGGTTTTACTCAGATTTACCCAGTGCAACTGTCTTAATCTGATTGCTGCTTCCATGAGCATTAATAGTGGATCCAAGCACGACAAAATCCTTGAACCACATCAGCCTTTTCTCCGTTTAACATGATGTCACTTAATGGTCTCATTTCAACGTTGGATTACATTAGATAAGTTTTAAAGTATCCTTGCA